TTCTGCATCAAGGGTAACATTATTAGACAGGACCGCTGGCTCCCTCACCCTCAAATCTTCATCTCCTGAGCCAGAAAAAGATGCCTGACTTTATTGTGGTATGATAGGGACAGGAAGAAGAAGCCCTATGTCACTGTCACTTAGTCCAAAAAGTGACTAACTCTAGAAGATAGTCACATGGAAGGTGAAGCCATTGCTTCTTGATCCCAGGCAGCGTTTCACACCTCCATCCCTTTTTCTCTGAACCATTCTACCTAATCCCTGACTCCTCAGAGGCAAAACTCTCATAAACCAGATGCTATCTACTACCACTATTACTCTGCAACCTCTCTGAAGGTCCACTTTGTCTAAGAAAAGAATTCTATTCCCTAGTTCTCCTTCTCTCATTGTCCATTGCCTTGTATTCAGTTTTGCTGAGCTGCATGTTATGCAGAGCTCTTCAAAGGCATCGATACACCACACAAACACCCGGAACACAGACACGGGCCACAGGCCAGGGCCTGGTAGAGTCTGGCTGGCAGCAAGGGTGAAAAAACAGTTCTATGGAAGGAACTTCATGCCTGGGAAGTGAGTAAGACAGCCAGGCCCTCATGGTTCTGCCTTGTGGACAATTCATGCCTACTCCAAGTCTAAGCCCCTTGTCTCTCACCCCCAGCATATTCCTGAACTCTCCTCCCTATTTCTACTTACCATATATTCAAAGATACCAGTCAAACATCAGCCTAAATCTAATAAAAACTGGACAGTAACTCCTCTTTAAAAAACCAATCTAAATCAGCCACTACATACAGTACAATATGACCAGATGAGTGGGACAGATCACTCCCAGGGCTTCATTTGCGATGGAAGCCCAAGTGTCTTTTAGCCATGATTATGGGCATAAGACCCTGGGCGCATATATTCTGTAGACCTCAGTTTCTTTAACACTATAAAATGGGGGCTGTATCTGAGTGACATGTAGGTCAGGGACCCATATGGAGTAACAAATACTACAGTACACAGAAGCCATGGTAAAGGGCATGATAAAAAGAGAGAAACACTGATGAGGAGATTTTGGGAAAATTGCTTCCCTTGGGATGGAGGTGCCAGATGGGGAGGATGGGGAATGAGTCTTAAGTATTTCATCTTTATAGGAAAAAGATGGGCAGAACACAGCACTGCTGGCCTCCCCACTCAAGTTATGCTGAAAGCAGTAAAGGGCAAATAGGTTGACTGCTCACCCCAGATCTTCTCATAGACTGGTTGGATTGGGACACTCTCTGATGGGCACTCAGACCTCAGTTTCACATTTATTCCAAGTTATTGTCCAAAGGACAATGGTCAAGAAGTGTGGGATTGGTATTTGGAACCATCTCAGGACATTTGGGCAACATGAACTCAGAGGACAAAAAAATAAAAACATTTAAGCTTGAGTAAAAGACCGTAATCACACAACTCAAGTCAGAAGAAAGCCATGTGTATTTTACTTTCCTTTTGGCTTTAAACATACTGATAGAAATGGACCTAACGAGAGTCAGCCTCTTACCCCCAGGACACGATGCATTTTACACGTTTTGAAGTTGAACCAGATAATTAGAACAAAATTTTGCAGTGTTACTGGAGTTTTTTAGTACCCACTTACCAAGGTTTAGGCAAAGCCAAGGAGCCTTAAAATATATAAATCTTAGATATATTACTGATGGGAGTATAAGCTGATACAACTGTTCTTTAGATCAATGCGGCACATGTCTCAAAAGTCTTCAAAGTGTGCATACCTTTTAACCAAGTACTTCTTGTTTTAGGAATCTATTCTAGTAAAATAATCAGGAATGTAAATAAAGACTAAGATGCAAGGATGCCCATTATAACATTATTTATAATAATAAAATATTACATAAAACTATAATTTCCAACAAAGAAGGAAATGAATTTTCAATTAGAGTACATATAATGGAATCTTATGAAGGCATTAAAATTAGGTTGTAACTGCAATTTCATTGACATGGAAAGATATTCATTATATATTGCTAAGCTCAATTAAAGAAATTTTTATTGAGCACCTGCTAGATGGAAGACCATGCTAGGCAGCAGAGATGTGGTGGTGAATTTTAAAGGTATAGTTCTTACCCTCATAAAGCTTATGATTGGCCAGGGAAATCAAATATTGAGGAAGTAATAAGATCAGTAGTAATACTAAAGAGAAGCATAAAGTACCATGGGAGTAAGTAGCAAAGGAATTTAACCTAAGCCAGAGAGGTCATAGAAGGCCTTCCTGAGGAAGTGATGCTTAAGCAGTAATGAAGGATGAATGGGAGTCAGCCAGGCCAAGAGACGGAGGACAGAACATTCCAGGAAGATGAATAGTAATTTAAAAAAAAAAAAAATACATACATCGAAAAAGGCTATTTCGGCTGAGAGCAAAGGCTCACGCCTGCAATCCCAGCACTTTGGGAGCCGAAGCAGGTGGATCACTTGAGGCCAGCAGTTCAAGATTGCTTTGCAACATGGCAAAACGCACTCTCTACTAAAAATACAAAAATTAGCCAGGCATGGTGGCACACACCTGTAGTCCCAGCTTCTCAGGAGGCTGAGGCACAAGAATCACTTGAACCCAGGAGGCGGAGGTGGCAGTGAGTTGAGATTGCACCACTATACTCCAGCCTGAGCAAAAGAGCAAGACTCTGTCTCAAAAAAAAAAAAAAAAAAAAAAGACTATTCTACTGTACACATTAAATGCACTTATTTGTTAAAATATATATTTTATATATGTATACATTCATAAATATAAAATCTAAAAAGACATAAACCATATTCTTACCTAGATGTTGTAGTAGACATAATTTTTTACTTTTTGCTTGCCCACAGTTTCTGATTTTTATCTGTAATAAACACATGTGAACAGTATTTGGATGGATGGGTGAATGGATGGGTGGAAGGATGGTTGGTAACCAGGGTTTAATGGAAGGCTTGGGCTGGGCATTGCATTACACTGCTTTCTTCTCTTGATTCTCCCGTCCCTTCAATTCCTAGAATCTAAGAATGCCCCAGAAGCACTTTTTCTTCCAATTTGTAAAATCACTTTGGTTTTGCTATGACACTTCCGCTACTTCAGAGGTAAGTTCATCAGCAAAAAGTGGAGCCAGCATGACAATTCATTGCAATTCCAAACAGATTCCTCTCTCAACACTGAACTTTCCAAACCCCACACACAAAGAATAACTGGCAGAGGTATTTATTGAAGTTATAGCTAAATAACTTCTACAGACAAGATGAACCATTTTAAAATATAGATGGATGAAGGAAAGGGGGAAAAAAGGAAATAAAGGCCTTGCAACTAGGGTTTAAGACAACTCAAAAGGGAATGCAGCTCAAAATTTCCAGATACTGAACTTAGCTAGTTTTCCAGGCTACAGTGTGAAATTCCTGGCTCATGGATGAAAGTAAGGTAAGAGTAGCTTGGTCCATTTAGCAGAGGCATGACTCCAAGTTGAGACCAGCTCCTTCACATGACAAGTCAAGGGGGAAACACATGTGACAAACTCTCAATGCACAAGTGCCAAGTCTCTCCCAACAAAACCAGTCTTTCCCAGCTGTGTACCATATTAGGAAAAGAGTTACAGCCCATTCAGCAAAAATATGCCTGCACTCACCCATCATTAGCAAGCTTGTGTTCATTCTTCAGACATTCACTTATTCACTACCTCCTGTGGTGGGCATGGAGGATTCAACAATAACAAGACATGTTCCCCAAGTGCCCAAAGCTCACAGTAAGGTGCAGGTGACACTTCATTCACTCATTTAAAAAATATTTGTGTCCTGCCATGTACCAGGTGCTCAGTATATGGTAACAAACAAGCCCAACAAGGTGTCTGTCCTCATGGGGCTTATATTCTAGTGAGGCAAGACGGGTAAAAAACACATAATGACAAACCAAGATGATTTTCAGATGGTGATAAATGTTATGAAAAGATGAAGTCAAGTTATAGGAAAGAGAGAGGCCTGGTGTGGAACTATGGTCAGAGTGGTGAGAGGGGGCCTGCCTGAGGAGGAGACATTTGCAGGATGGAAAGCAGTCAGTTACATGAGATACAGGGCATGGGCATTATAGATCACAGGAAACAGACAATTATGCAGGGTGACAGTTGCCATACTCAGAGTAGGCACAGGCACTTGGAAAGCATGTAGAAGGAACACCTGACCCAGTCTGGAGGTCTCACCAAGCCCAGATGGCCTCCTTCTGTCAGCAGTGATTTATAGAGCACTGAAAGTACCTGGTTCAGGGGAGGTGCTGAGAGAAACTATAGACAGGAAGATTAGCCCATGGGTTTCAGGTAATTCAATCTCAGAACTAACAGATGGGAAATATTTGGACAAGACTATTGGGCATGCCCAGTAAATAGGGACCCTGGAAAGTTGGCAAAGGTGCTGAAACTGAATGTCAGATATTGATTATACCTATTTCTCATCCCTCTCAAAATCCATCATCATTTTTCCAAATCTCCTCCACTCTGTAAAGACTAGAGGAGGCCCAGGGCCCCTGTCTGGAATGAAGGTCTAGGAAAGGACAATAGGTAGGCCAGCTGGTAAAGCACTGGGCCAGGTGCCAGGAAGCCAAGTCCCACTCATTCACTGTGACCTTGGACAGGTCTCTTCCCTTGTCTCGGCCTCAGTGTCCTCCATCTGCAAAGTGAGAGATCAGAAGGCCTGGCCATGAGCCCAGGAGTCTACATTGTTAACAATCTCCCCCACATGATTATGGTGCAGGCTGAGTTTTGAGAACTAATGGACTATGTGAGTCTACCTTTTTTCCTCATGGTGGACACTGGCGACATGCCCAACTGGCCTGGACTTGGTTCCATCAAGTCCTCCATGGCACAAAGCACAATATCTGGCATAGAGAAGCCCCTCATAGTGGGCTAAGGGCTTTCTCTTTCCTCCCTCCCCTCATGTCACACCCCCAACATTCTCCCATTGGGGCTGCAGCCCCATAACCATGGGTTAATGTTGGCCACTCACCATACCTGTGAACATTGCACAGAAGTAAGGGCTGCAGGCTGCCAGGACCACACGGTGGGCTTCTATCTCGACATCTTCTGCCACAATCATCACGTCACACAACAGCTGTTTACTGTAAGACACCAGTGAGAGGACAGGATGGGTCACAGCATGGACACCTACCCTCATCTTACAAGGGTATTTTTTTCTCCCACCCAGATTTCACACTATCACTATACAAAGCTGTCACAGGGACTTGCTCTATCTTGAGTTAGAGAGGCGGGTGGATTCACTGACTTTTCCAAGTCCCTGAGAAACCTGACATTCATGCTTTCCTAAGGTCCATGGAGAGATCCAACTACTCTCTGGCTGTAAATTCTGGGCTGCTTCATTTATCTTCACCTCTCTGTTCCCCAATTCCATCAGCTCAGATTAAGAATTAGGGGTTTAGTGGCTCAGGGAACAGGGGCAAAAGCTTGGGGCTATCATTCGAGTGACCGAATGAATGCTGAGGAACGTGAGCATACCACTGAGTGTATCACCAGCAAGACCAAGTACGATTCCCCACGGGATCCACTGTATATGTAACAACAGTAAGAGGCAAGCCAGCCTTAGGTATTTCTCTTTCCACCCAGATTTAACACTTTCAACAAGAAGACTCTGCCTGCAAACACAGTGCTCCCTAAAGACCCTGTGCAAACTCCAATCACTGAAATTATTAAAAATACTGTAATTACCTTTCTGTTTGTCACCCCCACTGAACTCAGAAAGGGACTTGTCCTATTTAATGTCATATCCTAGACACCTGGCTGCATACCTAGCACATGACCCTAAATTTTTACTGAATAAATAAATTAATGAATGAAATGTAATCAATCCACATTCATAGACAGAATGGAGATCTGACTACTTTAGAGATTGATAGGGTGCCACGAGCTTCCATCAACCCAAGAATTTTTCCTTCATCACTCTCCTAAGCTCTTATCATGACTGTTAACAATATAATAGTTAATATTTATTGAGTTACATGTGCCAGGCACTGTTCTAAGCACTTTTTTACACATACTACTTCTTTTAATCCTCTCTACAACCCCATGAGATAGGGCTAATTGTTATGCCTATATTACAAGTGAAGAAACTGAGGTCCAGAGAATTAATTTTCCCAAGGCCACACAGAAAAGCAACAGTGGAAACGGGATTTAAATGAAGGCAGCTGAAGCCCAGAACCCATGCTCTTAAGTTGAGTGGTATCCTGATCACCACTCATTCCTCCTTGAGATTAAAGCACTGGAGAGAGGAGGAAAGACAAGGAGGACAAACCCACTTCAACTGTAAGCTACTGGTAGTGGTTACTTGGCACGCTACCCTGGTTTGAGAGGGCTGAGGTCATGACTAGATTCTGTGTGAGAATGTTGAGGCCAATTAATGAGTCTGCCATGGTTGACAGATGGAAGAAAAGCTACATATTTGCTATCTCTGGTATAGCACATTAAGTCACTGTCAACTACTAAGATATTTGTTTAGGTTCACGTATCAGAGAAATAGAATCACAGGGCCTGAGAAGGCTGGAGCTGCAAATGCTGTTAGAGATCATCTGGTCTATGAAATTCAGAGAGGTGAAAAGATGCCCAAAGTCACAGAAGCCTAAGTCTTGAATCCAATTCTCCTTACTCCAGATACAGTAGTTTTTCCACAGTACCACAATGCCTCATGATTGGCTGACACTCAGAATGAGAAAAAACAGAAGACAGGTTAGCTCAACAGGGAGAAGTGGTCAGGAAGTAGAATAAGGTATCGTTAAGGAGGCTTCCTGGAAGGGTGAGACCTTTGGCAGCAAGAGGCAAAACCGGGGGATTGAGATCTTACCCTACAATGGACAGCAGACCCTAATCACCAACTATATCAGGATAAACCAGTGCAACCAGGAACAGAACTGGCTCTGCCCCTAACTGGCTATGAGACCATGGGCAAATAAGGTCACCCCAGTTTCTCAGCTGTTTTAGCTGCCTTTGGGACACATATCATGGGGGCCGAATGGGATTACAGGTGCCATCTGAAAACGGCCTTTTAGTCTCATTAAATTTTACTCTAAAAATGTATTTCCAACATGAATAGACTCATTTTGGACATTTTTACTTATATTAACAATTTTAGGAAGAAAATTGAATTATCACTGCCATTTAAGAGTAACCACATTTTGGGAGGCTGAGGTGGGCAGATCACTTGAGGCCAGGAGTTTGAGACCAGCCTTGCCAACATGGTGAGACCCCATCTCTACTAAAAATACAAAAAAAAAAAAAAGAAAAAAAATTAGCCCAGTTTGGTGGCAGATGCCTGTAATCCCAGTTACTAGGGAGGCTGAGGCATGAGAATTGCTTGAAACCCAGGAGGCAGAGGTTGCAGAGGGCCAAGATCATGCTACTACACTCCAGCCTGGGTGACAGAGCAAGACTCTGTCTAAAAAATTAAAAAATAGAGTAATCGGTCATATTTTTTGGTAACTAATAAGAAAACTGTTGGCAGAGAAGAGTCAGAAATGCTGAGCAAATGTTCAGTGCTAGGAGCTGAACAAACAATGTCAGGGTGTGTTATCTTGCACAAACCCAGGGAGGCTGACAATTTTTGAACAAATGGGAAAGAAACACAAGGGAATGAAGAATAAAGATGGAGAATTCAGTTAAGCAAATAGATGACAGCAGTTCTGATGGGTGGAAAGTGTATCTTAAGGCCAGAGAAATTCTAACCTGGGAAATTGGCCAAAAGAAACTTGCCAAATACTTAAGATGGGCTTTCCCTGGGGGTGGGGAAGTCTGTCTGCACACTGGAGACATCTTTATGTATACGTGCTACATGGAAGAAGGAAGTAGTAGCTCTAAAGCACTGCATGGCTCACAAGCACTCCTATTCAACTTACCTGGGATCCTATGGGATCCTTTTTTCTGAGCTATCACTACTCCATCTTGAGGAGAGAAAAGTAGGACTAGACACTTTGCCATTTGTGGAAAAGTACAGTGTAGCTGTTAGGAAGGAGCTCAGGCTCTCAAATCAAACTTACCTGAGTTCAAGCCTCTCAAACCTCTGCCTCACCACTCTCTAGTGTAGCCAAGTATACAATGTCCCCAGAGTGTCACGGAATTAAGATGTGCTGTAAATCAGGTAATGCATAGTGCTAATAGTAAATATTTAGCAAATGTTAACTTTTCATATTTTGAAAAAAAAATATTTTAAAAAATTGGTTTTTTTCGATTGTCTGCTTCACTTTTCCTCCATATCTTCTTTTTTCCATATAATATTTCATTTAAGATTAGAGGTTAAGTTTTGAACATGTTAAGTTTGAGCTGCCCACTGGATGCGTAAGTAAGGTTACCAAGCAGGCAAGTGGTTACATGGTTCTGGAATTCAGACGTGTGAGATGGTTAAGAGGTTGAAGGGAGGAATAACCAGCAAAAAAAAAAAAAAAGACAGTGTGTAGCTGGGTGTAGCGGTACATGCCTATAATCCTAGATGCTCGGGAGGCTGCAGCAGGAGGATTACTTGAGCCCAGGAGTTCAAGACCAGCCTGGACAACATAGTGAAACCCCATCTCAAAAAATATGACAGTGTGGTCTAGTATAGGATAGCTATATAGATCAATAAAATAAAATTGAGAGTCCAGAAATAAACCCTCATATTTATGTTCAATTGATTTTTGACAAGGTGGAAAGATCATTCAACTGGGAAAAAATAGTCTTTTCAACAAATCGTGCTGGGACAACTGGATAGCCATATGCAAAATAATGAAGTTGGATCCCTACCTCATGCCATATACAAAAATTTATTTAAATGGCTCATAGATCTAAAAGTAAGAGCTAAAACTATAAAAACTCTTAGAAGAAAACACAGGGGTAAATCTTCATGACTCCAAATAAGGCAATGGTTTATTAGATATGACACCAAAAGCACAAACAATAAAAGAAACTGATAAATTAGGTATCCAAATTTAAAACACTTGTGCTTCAAAGGATGCCATCAGGATAATGAAAAGACAATCCATAGAATGAGAAACAATTTTTTGCAAATCATCTACCTGATAATTAGCTTGTATCTAGAATATGTGAAGAACTCAAACTGTTACAACTCAATAATAAACAGAAAAATAACCTAATTAAAAATGAACAAGAGATTTGAATAAGCATTTCTCCAAATAAGATATAGAAATAGCCAAAGAGCTCATGAAAAGATGATCAACATCATTAACAATCAGAGAAATGCAAATCAAAACCACAACAAGATATCACCTTACACTCATTAGAATGGCTATAATCAAAAGCACAAACAATAACAAGTGTCAGAGAAGATGTGGAGAAATTAGAAGTTTCACTGCTGATGGAAAGGTAAAATGGTGCAGCTGCTCTGCAAACAGTTTGGCAGTTCCTCCAAAGATTAAAGTTGCCATATGACCCAATAATCCCACTCTCAGACATATACCTAAGAGAAACAAAAACATACATCCACACAAAAACTTGTACATGAATGTTCATAACAGCATTAGTTATAATAGCCAAAAGTCAAATGTGATATATCTATACAATGAAATATTATTTTGTAATAAAAAGGAATGGTGTACTGAGACATGCTACAACATGAATGAACCTTAAATGCATTATGCTAAATGAAAGAAGCCAGATACAAAAGGCTATATATTGTATGATTTTTAAAACAGGTACATCTATAGAGACATAAAGTAGACTAGTGGTTGCTTAGGGCTGATGGGGAGTGGTGGTAAGGACAGGGTAAACTATGGAGGGGATGACTGCTAAAGAATACAGGGTTTCTATTTAGGGTGATGAAAATATTCTAAGATTGTGCTTGCACAACTCTGTGAATAAACTAAAAGCCATTAAACTGTATACTTTAAACAGGTAAATTGTATGGCATCTGAATTATGTCTTGATAAAGCTGTTACCAAAAGAAAAACAAAGCAATATGCTAAGATGGTTCATAACAATAATAAAAACATAGTGACAGATCATCAAAAAAAAATGAGAGCAGAGAACTGTTTGCAATGGTGAAATGGGAGATTAAAATTGTCAAAATGAGAAAAGAAAGACTGCATGTGGATTCTACTCATTGGTTGTTCCGTTCTCTCTGCCC